GGAAATTAATGTACTATACAGTGTGAAAGGGACTGTCTTACTGAGCAAAACAGCAAGTTGCAAGCAAAAATCTGGATAAGATTAAACCTTAGCAAAGTGAAATTATACAGATCTGTTGAGGTTGAAAGCATGAAGAGTGGACATTTTGCTAGCCTTCCCAGTCTGTGATGGGAAGATGTTTCAGAAGGTCAGTCTGTCACATAGCCTCGACATGGTCCTTGATCAGAGTCTAACACTGAAGTTCCTGAATGGAGCCTGATTCTCCATTCTCTTGCAGTCTTGGTTATCACTTGTAGCTCTTCAAGTGGGAATAAAATGCTACCAAAATGCAAGGTGCTGGTGAAACAGGCTCTAGAGGGTCAGCAGTAGTCAGAGCTTCTCTATTTCCTTTGAATCAATTTAATAATATTGCCAGACTGCACCTCTTTCTCTGGCACCCTGACCTGATATCCATAATGCATGTCTTTGTAACCCTGAGGCTGGATTCCTGCAATGCATTCGATGTTCTTCTGTCTAAGAGTCACGTATGGCTGATGCAGAATACAGCAGCATGACTATTATTAATGGTCAGTACTGTGTGGCTGTCTGAACTGCCTATGCATTGGTGTGAAGTAGGGTTAAGATTTTGTTTTTACATTTAAGGCTGCATCTATGTTATGAGGTAGGGGTGAGATTCCTAGCTCACGTAGACACACACTAGCTCTCATCTGAGCTAGTGTGCTAAAAATAGTGGTATAACCACAGTAGCATGGGCAGCGGCAGCACCATGCTGGCTGCCTTGAATACAAACTTGCCTCAACCCTTGGGTAGGTACCTGGGGCTGTTAGCCACAGCTTCTGCTACCACAGCTACGCTGCTATATATAGTGTGCTAGCTCAGATGAGAGCTAGTGTGAGAATGTCTGCTTGACCTGGGAATCACACCTCTAGCTCATAGTGTAGACGTAGTCTAAGTACCTTACTGAGCTTTTGGCGCCCTCTATAGAGTAATGTCTTGCTTTCTTAGGCGAATCAGAGTGGGTATTCTCATCGCAGGGCTTTGTACGGGTAGTTACTACCCATATTTTTGCTTAAATAAAATGCTTAAAATAAAAATACCATTTCCAACATGCAATAATTGACTTTAAGACATAAATCCATATACTTTTGTGTGTGTTGTTTGCCACAAGAATTAAAATGCATGTCTATGTTTTATTTTGACTGCATGGTCTAGCATGTTTAAACAAGAGAAGTTCAAAATAGCATTCATTGAACCATATCCATGGTTGATGGTTTTTAAAAAGAAAGTAAAAAGAAACATGCAAGAATTTTTATACTGAACCATCAAAGTCCAATGAACACTTTTCAAAAACATGGTGCATTCACAGTCCTGGAGATAGTAGGGGGATAGAAGATTATCTCAGTATCAGTTGAAATAGAAAAACATTTGTGTTGTTTAATTTTTTTTAGCATATTGGCTACCATTATAGCGGCAAATATAGATTTCCAGATGTTTGTAAAGAGTTCAAGAGTTATATTTTATACGTATGGCTGTAATAATGATTTCTATTCAACAGCCTAGAAAAAACATTTTATGTCACAACAAGAAAGAAATATTACTGCTTTTTATCCCTCATCCCCTTTCTAGGAATTCTGAGTACTTTAATCAATGCCAAACAAAAATGATGGGCTAGAAATTAAAACCACAGCCCCCAGAGGCAGGACATAAATGTGCAGATGTTCTGTGATGTTGAAGAAGCTTGTCAGACAGACACTGACAATGATTTTCTGAGAAGGACTAAGAATCTATTAACGTAGGACACTCTCAGAACACTGGCTCCCTTAACCACTCTGTCAGAAAAAGCATTTGTCTTTTCACATTTCCTAAAAGAACTGTCACATTGTGAGTTACTTTGTTCTCACCATTTCATTAGCAAGGCTAGTAACTAGAATCTATTACTGTAAGGAAATAAAGTGAGAAACGCCCATCTCTGATTTACTGGACCTATCACATGTGCACACTACTGATTGGTACCCAAGTAGTGAACAAACTTCAGGAGTCCTCTTCCAGTCAGGCTTATTATTTCAAGTATTTATGTGTCTCTGACCACTGCTCTATAAATGGGTGTGCTGAAAATTTTGTGTTTCCCAAATTTAACCAATTAAACAAGGAGATATTACAAGTAATGGTAAAAGCAACAACTGGTGAGTTTTTAAAGGCACTCACTGTGTCTGGGTACATGTCTGGACATGATAATAAACACCTTAGCACAGAAAAGGGATTTTATACTCTCCTTTACTAGTCTCTGCTGCACTAGACTGTTAGTGTACAATTTCTGCCTCTGAAAGGGGATCCCTGACTGGAATTCTTTGGCAAATATAAATAAATTCCAGCTGCTCTCGCTTCATTCACTGCATTTTATTTATTGTTTTACTCAAAAGACACAAGGCCAGATTTCCTATGTGGTCTGTTTCCTTTCTGCCCCCAGGCAGTACAAAGGGGCTAGATATTGAGATGAGAATTCTCCCAGTGCAGGGAGTGCTCAGTTATCATAAAGTCAATGGAACCAGCTCCTATGCCCAGTTCTGGGTAGGAGACACGCCAAGAGGCAGGAAGGCAGTGCTTAATTTGTGCCAGGGCCGAGCAGTTCACATCCCCAGCACCTCTGGGCTTGCCAAGTCAGTTATGAAAGTAAAATAATTACTTGAGCGCCGGCACCTAATTGCTTGAGCCCCGGCACCTTTTTCATTACAAATTAAGCACTGTAGGAAGGGGACATATTAGGGGTGGGAGGGAACGTGGGTACAGTGCTGCTATGCCAGTTCATATCAGGCAGATGGTCCTTTGTGGACCTTTAACAGATGGCCTAAGTGAGAGCAGTGGGGCTGGGGCCAGGAGCTCCACAGAACAGAGAATCAGGGAGCTATAACTGGCTTTCTGACTGCCTTTCCTCTTTCCTACACTGAGTTGATCTCAATTTAGGAAAGAACCTTACCCATAAATTTCTTGTCTCAAAAGACTTGGCTCAGGTATCAGATCCTTTCTTTCTGGGTGGAATTAGTGGATGAAAAGAAAGCACTAGATGTAGTATATTTGAATTGTAATTAATTATTTGAGACAAAATATCTCTCAAAATTAATTCATATTAGCTTGGATAAGGAGACTATGATAAGACCAGATATGGATTGAAGGATGTAAGCAAGTGGTGTTCTGAGCTGGGAGAATATGATTACTGGGGTGCCAGGGTGTTTGGCTTGGGCTCATTTAATATCCGTATTAATGGTCTGAAAGAGGAAGTGAACAGCCGTTTAATTCAGTTTGCATTTGATACTAAATTAGGAGTTGCTGCAGACACCAGTGAGGGCAGAGAAATAAATCAAAGGCATCTGGAAACATGGGCAGTAAATAACAAAATGAGATTCAGTTTGAAAAAATGCAAGCTAATATCTGTGGAGGGAAACCATCCAAAATGCACCTATTCGGTGAGAGAATCCTGAAAGCAGTCATTCTGAAAGTGGTATAAGGGTATTAATGGGCAAAAAACGACATGAGTTTCAAATATGATATTACAGCCAAAAAGTCAGTGTAATTTAGCTCTACATATGCAGGAGGAGTGCACCAAGGAATAGCAAGGAAATGGTTCCTCTTTATGTGGCTGTGGTGAGAACACACCTGCAATACTGTGTTCAGTTTGGGGCTTCCCATTATCAGAAAGATACAGACAAATTGGAAAGAGTTCAGAAAAGAGCCGTAAAAATGATCCAGCACCTTGAGGAAGTATTGACTTATGAGGAAAGATCAGAGAAGCTATATATGTATAACTTGGCTGAGAGATGGCTGCAAGGGGACAGAATAACAGTCTGCAAATATTTGAAGGGTGTAAATACCAAGGGGGGAGGAGAATGGTTTAAGGTGATCACTATGAGTAATGAGTTTAAATAATAAACAGCAACAATAAGTTAGGAGGACAAATTTAGACTGAATAGCAGGAAAATCTTATAGCAGTGAGATCTGTTAGGCTGCAGAGTAGTTTCCCATGGGATGAGGTGAAAGCTCCATTCATATGAGTCACGTAAAACCAGGCTGGACAAATCACTAGAAAATGTACTGTACTGCAGGGAAGCTTCCATTGCCTGGGGAATGGGTTGGATGACTTAATAGGTCATTTCCATCTCAGATGTTTATGGCTGTCTGATACTTTAATATGTGTAGTCAATTAATGAAAAGAATATATTTTCCTGTTGTCTGTGGGTCCATAATTTAGTGACCCAATCCTGCAAAAACTTACGGACGTGCTTAACTTTTAAGAATGTAAGTCATCCAATTGACTGCTCACATGTTTAAGCATACACTTAAGTGTTTGCGGGATCACAGCCTCAGATCTAGCAGAGTTCTGTGTAAATATAGCTGTGCATATAGCTAACTAAATCATCTGTATTTAACTAATATGTGGAAAGAATACAAAAGAGTGGTGTCAGCAGAAAGCCCCAAAGAGAGGTTTACTCTATGGGGTTTTTTTTAGTTGACTGGTGACAAGTACTATGGAGTACATGCCAGTTTACTAACTGTTAATCTTTGCCATCTTGCTGCTTTCCCCTCTGAGATAATGAGTATTCAGTAGACATTGTGAGATTATTTTCTATATTCCATTTTTTTTCTAAAATTTGATATTTTTGAACGGTCTGATTTGAGATGTACTCTTAAAACTTCTGTTAAATATGAAAAGGGCAACTGGAAATGAAAATATGATCCTTTTCTCATAGAAGGAAGAAATGCTAGTGGCATATTAGTATGGAACTAACATTCAGTTTGGGTATTTTTCCCATTAAAAGAAAGTTATTTTCAACCCATCTGACCACTTATTTTTAAAAACAGCAAAGCCCAGGTTGCCAATATTCAGACAGCTGTGAGCTAGGCCCCCTAAAAATAGCAGAAAGTACAACTGGTTTTTTTGTTTGTTTGTTTTATGTTGTTTATTTGTTTTTCTTTCCCCCTTGGTGGGTTGTGCGTCGGGCTGGCAGCACTGTCGTGCCGCAGCCGAGTAGCAGAACCTCAGGAGTCTCCAGCAAGAGGTCAAGTAGCAGCAGCTCCAGTGAATCCGAGAGCAGTTCAGAATCTGACTCAGAGAGTGAAAGCAGTTCGAGTGAGAGTGACGGCAGCAAGCCCTCTCATTACTCCAGCCCAGAGGTAAGGACTCCTGTGCTTTATGATTCAGGGTGGCAGCTGAGATATTCCACCCACTCGGGCCCTTAGCTAGCCAAGAAACATAGGGAGGCTGTGGGGAGGCCAAAAAAAAATGGAATGGGGGAGGCCCAGGGATCCCCTGCCCTTGGGTCATTCTGAAATGCATTCCTCAACAAAAGCATACACAAAAAGATATGCCAACTAGGGAAATGTGATCTAGATTAAATTACTATAAGGTGGCTACATAACTGATTTAAAGACTGTATTCAAAGAGTAGTTATCAATGTTTCACTGGCAAACTGGGAGAATTTATCTATTGAGATCCCACAGGGGTCTGGTACTAGTCAATATTTTCATTAATGACTTGGATAATAAAGTCAAGATTATGCTTATGAAATTTGTGGATGACACCACGCTGGGAGAGGTTCCAAGCATTTCGGAGGATGGGGTTAGAATTCAAAACAACCTTGACAAATTGGAGCATTGGTCTAAAATCAACAAGATGAGATTCAATTGGACAAAATTCAGAGTACTACACTTGGGAAGGAAAAAGCAAATACACAACTACAGAATGGGGAATAATTAGCTAGGGTGTAGTTCTGCTGAAAAAGTATGTGATAGCTGTAGAAGATCACAAATTGAATATGAGCCAACAGTGTGATGCAGATGCAAAAAGGCTAATATTCTGGAACGTATTGCCAGGCACGTGGCGTGTAGTAATTGTGCCTCTCTACTCGGCACTGGTGGGGTTTCAACTGGAGTTCTGTGTCCAGTTCTGCATACTACACTTTAGGAAAGATGTGTACAAACTGGAGAGAGTCCAGAGAAAAGCAAAAAAAAAAAAAAAAACTGAAAAAAGATTTAGAAAACCTAAGGGAAAGTTAAAAACAGGGCATGTTTAGTCTTGAGAAAAGAACAGTGGGGGGGAGATATGATAACAGTCTTTAAATATGTTAAGGGCAGTTATAAAGAGGACTGTGATCAATTGTTCTCCATGTCCACTGAAGGTAGGACAAGAAGTAATTGTCTAAATCTGCAACAAAAGAGATTTAAATAGATATTAGGCAAAGCTTTCTAACTATAAGGATAGTTAAGCACTGGAACAGGCTTCCAGGAGAGGTTGTGGAATCCCCCTCAGTGAAAGTTTTTAAGAACAGGTTAGACAAACACCAGTCAGGAATGGTCTAAGTATATTTGCTCCTGCCTCCGTGCAGAAGGCTTGGCAGGATAACCTATTAAGGCTGTAAATAACCTTACATATTCCCCAGACTCTCACATACATAGACACACAAATATACGTAAAAAGTATTCAAAAATCCAGCATCAAGACTGTAAACACACCCAAACCCCAGACAGGTAAATCCCCTTTACCATACGACACTGGATCATGACAACCATGTCTCACAATCATAAAAAATTACATTCCCTTTTTAAAAAAATCAAAAACACGGTATGTATGTTATGTAACATTTTGGCACCAAATATAAAAGTACCAAAAGCATACTGTAGTGTGTCTCCCTTGTTTTTGTTGTTCTTTCTTTACTCTACAATTTTCTTGCCTTCTCTCTGCCTCTCAGTATTTTTCAGATTCACTTTCAGTTAATTTTTCATTTCTCCTTTCCCCTCCCCCAAATCTATTCCTCCAGCCTTCCCTTTTCTTTTCTCTTTCTCTACATTCCTGGGCACTCCTTGCCCCTCTCCCTCTCTTTACTGTCCTATTTCTTCCTCTCCCCATTGGTCTCCTTCCACTCAAGGTCTCACCCTTTCCCTGCAGATTCTGTCCTCTTTCTCCAGTTCCCCACTGCAGACATCTGCCTTTATGTCTCAATCTTTTCCTTCCATATGGAGTCTCAACAAACGTACAAATTGGGAGGGAGGAGGCAAGAAAAGGAGAAGGGGATTGCTAGTGTGTCTTTGTCAATGTGTACGTAGAAGTGATCTCTCCAAGAACAATTGACCTGGTCGTTCCAGCAGGGCATCAGGTCTATTAATCCATATGGGACATTGATTGGGATTTCATATGGAGATCTGTAGACTACAAGTCATTTTAGGTTATTTTTTGTCCCCCACCTCAAATATCATAGGCACATATTCAAAGGTTTTTTATTTCTGGACTGGGGCATCTTCTGTGTTTAGAGGGAAAGAGGATTGCTGCTCCACCTCCTCTTTTATTTTTCTAGCTCATTTTGGGATCTTTGTGTATGGAGTAAGCTGAGGTAGAATAGGGTCAGACCAGGTTTCAGTGACGCAGGTCAGTTCAGAAGTCTCATCCAATATAAAATTGTGAGTGGGGCTATGTGACAGAGTGCTAGGTACAAAGGCCTGAGTCAGCACTCTTCACAGCAGCCCCAATCAGGCAAAGCAGATTAGAGCTGACTATGCAAGTCTGTGCCTAATTTGGGGGCGGGGCAAGGCAGAGAAGCCAGTTAAACCCTCAGCCAAGAGCCCACAAATAGGCATAGGAAAGAAGAGCACAGTGGGGGGAAGCAGGCAGTAAGAGGGAAAGAGACATCGCTCCCCTCTGCTTGGGAAAGGTCTTAGGTATACTGTGAAGGTGGTGGGATGCAACTGTAAATAAACTGCAAAGGGTGTTGAACCAGCAAAAGGGTCTCCATATAATTTGTGGACTGAGACAGAGGCTGGACCAAGGTGGCCCTTTTACAAGCTAGTTTTGTACACTGCCAAACATGCACTCATCATCCAGAGCAGTGTTTCCCAAACTTGCGATGCCGCTTGTTCAGGGAAAGCCCCTGGCAGGCCGGGCCGGTTTAGTAACCTGCCGTGTCTTCAGATTCAGCCGATCGCGACTCCCACTGGCCGCAGTTCGCTGTTCCAGGCCAATGGGGGCTGCGGGAAGCGGCGGCCGGTACATCCCTCGGCCTGCGCTGCTTCCCACTGCCCCTATTGGCCTGCAGCGGCAAACCGTGGCCAGTGGGAACCGCGATCGGCCCAGCCCGCCAGTGGCTTTCCCTGAACAAGCGGCGTCCCAAGTTGGAGAAACACTGGTCTAGAAGCTGAGGCTGTTATCCTCTCTCCCTCTCTCTATGGAGGCCATGAATGAGGGTGCTGGTAGAGGGGTTGACTTCATGTGCTTAGTTGAAGGACTGATGCTATGTGTGGCATCCTTGATTGAGGTCTGTTCATTCCAATGACAGTTTGGGTTTAGGATGGTGAGGGATAACTGGATCTGAAGTCCTTTGAAGGGGCTGAACTTCCTACTCGCCGAATTCTAGGAGTCTGGCACTGTTGTGTTTTCCTCCAATAAATTAGCATGGTGGTCTCTGTAAGGCAGGAATTGGTTACAAGACTGCAGGAGTAATAGATTGGGGTGTGTGTGGTGTAGGAGAGACAACTGTAATTGGTTGGTTGGCTGTTTTGGGGACGGAAGGGCAGGTGCCCTGGTGCCATCTATTTGAGGCTTTAAGCTACTAGCATGTAGTTTCCAGTTATCACTCCAGCCCTCCCACAAGATTTCTTATCCCCACCCCTGGTGGATCTTCCTGCTTCACAGCATCTCACTTTCAGTGGCTCCTCCACCCCGCCCCCATAGATTTCCCCTTTATCTCCTACCCCACTCACCCTTTGGAGAGCATTCTCTGTTTTTCATCCTCCCCCCGCCTCCCACCCCGGTCACTGGAAATTTAAGCAAGGTGAAAGGGTGTCAAGGCAGCCTCTTCCTGAGCCTCCTCCAATTCCCACTGTGTATCCTGACTCTTTAAATCTGTAAGTAGGAATAGGGGCTGAGAAGGTTTGCAGTAGCATTAGGGATAATACAGTTGTACTAACATTCCTTGTTCAGTGTTAGAAGAAAACCTGTGAGCCTTTATCATTGTCGCATGATCTGCTGCTACGAAGCATGGGTTGGAAGAGGAGCTGCGGGGGCAGAAGTGGCGAAGCAGCTGCATGGGACAGAGACACAGTGGCTGCTACAACACAGCTGCCTCTAGTGACAACACCACAAAATACATGGATTTCTCTGTCCTGCTTTGCACTGAACCAGGCCCAGCTACTTCGAAAGGCTGTGAAGACTAAATGTCCCGTTCTGCTTCTCTGTACTGTCTAACGTACACCGGTTTTCTTCTTTTCAAGTGTACCCATAAGTGTTTTTCTGTGACACTGTCATCCCAGCAGGTAATATTGGGTCTAAGGCCCTGGTCAGCATCTGTCAAAGCTAACAAGATTTGCAGGGCTCTGCCCTCCCCGCATCAGCAGAGTCAACATACTGACCTTGCAAGGAGCACTGTGGTTTTGGGCACTGGTGGCTGAAGAGCTCCCTGTATATTCTTGGTGTTCCCTCCGATCTTATATATCAGTGTCATTGACACACGTCTCTTCTGCTTCGTCTACACCACAGCTACGGTGGTGATTCCCAGCTCACCTCCACGTAGTGCTGCTAGCTCTCTTCTGAGCTAGCACGAGTATAAATAGTCGCGTAGCTGCAATGCCACAGGGAGCGGCCGCACTGAGGGTGAACCCACCTGAACCCCTGTGGGTACGTCCTCAGCCTGGCTAAGCCTTGCCACCGCTGCCTGTGCTACTGCAGCTACACTACGATTTAGCCTCACGCTAGCTCTCAGTGAGCTAGTGCCCACATACGTAGGTACGCAAGCTGGGAATCACCACCTCTCGCTCATGGCATATGTGGAGTCTGTATATTAAGTACATAAAAAGAGTGTATATATCTAGGTAGACTGACCTGTTCGATTTAACTCTTTTTTCATCTTTTTGACCGTTTTGTTTTTCAAACAGTTTTCAGCTTCCACAGGCCCCTGGAGAAGCCCCAGTTGTATTTTCTGGTTGGCATACTGCAAGTTAAAGATGAGTTTTGCCACCAAACTAACTTTGGAGATGTCCTTTACTTTTGGTAGCGGGACACATTGGTTTTTAGCTTCCACACGCCTGACTTCATTAGGCAAACTTTCTCAGGTTCCAGGACTGAAACCCTGGCCCCATTGTAGTCAATGACAAAACTCACCAGGGCAAGGACCATCTCTCATTATGTGTACATATAGTGCCTAGCATAAGAGGGCCCCTGATCTCAATAGGGGCTTCTCGATAAGCAGTATGGTAATGCAAATGATAAATAAGAACAACAGAGAGTGGCTTCACTTCTTAAAAGAAAAGGGCACCATGGGGCATAGGGCCTACTATGCTGCCAAGTCTCTAAGTCCCTCTTTCCAGTAGGAAGAGCAGGAGACACCATAGTTTTCACAGAGCCCACCCCCCCCCCCAATCCCTTCCGGAGAACATGCACTGGAGGCTTCCCCAGATCTATGTCCCTTGTGCCTCCAGCTATACTTTGTAGACGCTAAGAGATCTGAGTTCTAGAGACACAGTGTTTCTGAGCAGATTTGTCAAATCCTCCTGGTTTTCCCAAAGAAGCCTAGCAGAGGAATGAGTAATTTAAAGTAGGAAAGGTTTGTGATCCAATGCTTATAGGCTCTTTAAATGCTACAAACACAGACCTTTTCTCTCTTCTCCATTTATCTGATTTTGGTTATCAGACAATTGTCAATCATCTTTCGTGAGGTAGCCACTTGGATCTACCTGGACTTAGGTAGAAGATAGACCAAAGTTTCTGTTGAACCTGGTCATCCAGGTCATCACAGATTTCACACAATTAAAAACTCCCCAGTGCAGTGGGGGGAGTGTAGACACCTATACCTTTCTAAAGAGAGCAGAATATTCCCCTGACTAATGCTGTGCTGGCCAATGCAAAGTGGGGGACAAAGGTGATATAAATTGGGAGCCTTATGATTTGCTCAGGGGTCACTGTAATCCAATGGATCAGGTGTGGGCCAGGGTCTTTCCCCACCCCCACAAATAATTGAAATTTCTGGGGGCTACAATGTGAATTGATGAAAAGTCTCCAGTTAAATTTTGCAAACATTTTCACCCTACCAATCATCACATCCCATTGCAAAACAGTCTGCCTTAGTGAAAGCAGATTCTTGTATATGCTTTTTGAACTGCAAAGCTTTTCAGTTGGATCCATTAATTGAACAAATAGATTCCCATTGTATATTGACTTCATTGGTGCCAACTGCAAGCATTCAAAAATCATGTCAAGCCCCCAAAATCATCTGATTGTCTTGAAAATCACGAAAGATTTCTATTTGAGATCTTTTTATTTACCTTTTGTTTTTAGGGTTCACATTTACAAGATTTTTTTTCCAAAGCATGAATTCTAAAAACTTTCCTTTTTAAAAAATGAAAGCTGGGATTACTTATCTAACCAATGATTCCAGGAGCTGGAGCTTTCATCATGATAAAATGATGACTCATGATAAAATTGGGAGAGTTGGCAACATGGTTTGTACTAGAGGGATTTTGCTTGAGGCATTACTATTTAGGGGGCATGTACATTGGTGGCAGAGTGGTAGACAGTGGAAGTACCGCTACTGGGAAGCACTACGTTGTAAAATCATGTCACTCAGCTGTTCCTCGTTGTTTTTGGATGGTGTAATTTTGTCCCTGAAGTATGAATTGTGAGAAACAGAGTTTTAGAGAATGACAATATCTAAAACTGCAGGATTGGATCGTAAGTGCCGCCACATACAAAATTTGGATGACCAGTTGCATTCAGGAGATTGAGTGGGACATCAACGGGACAGTACAAAGTTGGCATGATATTTCCCTGTGAACCTTTACCATAGGTTGTTCTCTAATGAGAAAAATTAGACAACAAGAGTAAAATTCTTCATGGAAAACTGAGGGCAGAATGATGGTTTTAGCCCAGTGATGGTTTTCATGTCAGCATGCATGATGATTATGTATTTCAAATTAAATGGAATATTGAGGCAAATTCTGATCCCACTGAGGACTTTGGGAGATTTTCCCATTGATTTCAGCGGGATCAGAAATTTAGCTTTTTATGACTACAGCCATAAAAGATGGTTCATATATTAGTGAGACCCTATCCAAACTATTGTGACCTATTGTGTCATTTTTTGTGTCGCATTCTTATTCCACCACCACTTGTTTCATTTCATTCAAATTACTGATTGCAAGAAGTACTAAGAAGCACTTGGGCATTATTGTCTTAGCCATAGCTGCATTTGAAATAATAATTATCCCACTTCTTCACTGTCCAAACACCATTGTACTTTAGATGCACTCTTAAAATTTGATCGTGTTATGACACAAATGAGGAGAAAAATTAGCAGCTACACAATATATGTAAAATGAGTAACTGACAATATCTCCACACACAAAAATGTTTGGGGGATCTTGCATGATTCTAGTGTCTGTAAACCGGGGGGGAGCAGTACGTTAGTTAGCTAAATAATGCAATTAAAACTCCCTTGTAGTGTCTAAATATTCTTGTCTTCACTAGCAATGTTATAAGATACAAAATACATCTCCCTTTTTTCCTCCTTGTTCTTCATTCTGTAGCCTTGATTTTATCCCTTTTTTTCTGTCTCTCGGTCACCATTATATTTTCTTTTATTTGGAAAGTTGGAAGCATTTCCCAGTAAAGTGGATGTCAATAGCACACTGCATGAATCACCTTTTAAGAAGTATGAATCACAGTAGCTGTCCTCCTTCTCAGCCTCATTCAAAACTGAAAATATCGCTTCTACAGCACACCCTGTCTCTAACAACCTGCACTTTAATCATTACGTTCTGCTCCTAAAGTCAATGCCCCTATTAATAGCAGAGGAATATTATTCAACTCCATGACTGGGTACCCTAATAAAGACAGTAAACTTAAATAGAGCACTAACTGTACACACTGTGTCTGTTTAACTGTCTCTTTCACCTTTTGCATCATTCTTTTTTTTCTTTGATTCCACCACCCTCATGGAGATGCTTCTCTCATAGCCCAAGGTACCAGCTAAAGGGTTAATTCCAGGAGCTGAACCCTTAGCTTGTCCAATGAGAACAGCATGGCCACAGTTAAAAAAAACACAGTACAAGCCCTGCAATTTAGTTATTTTCACTCTGAACATATAGAGAACCTATACAAATACAGACTGTGACATCCCTCACAGATGGAAATTTATTAAATACTATTTTGTTTGATTTGCTTTCAGCCTGAGCAGCCATCATCAAACAAATGGCAATTGGATAAATGGCTAAATAAAGTTAATCCTCACAAAACATCTATTCTTAACCAAAATGATAACCATGGACTGGAGAGCAATCAGTATTACAGCAGAATAAAGGAGGAAGGACAAGAGTGTGAGAAAATACCAGCTATTTGCCAAACTGACCTCAGAGACAAGGAAATTAAGAACTCCAGCAAAGAGGAGTTGAGGCCTAGAACTGCTAATAAAGCACCAGGAAATAAAGGAGGGAAGCAGAAATCACCTCCTACGGCTGCTGCTGTTTCTGGAGACAGCGGCCCTCAGAGAAGGACGACTTGTAAAAAACAGCCAAGAAGAACAGAGAGGACCTCTGGTGGGGATGCCTTGAACTGCCATACATCTGAGGATCTCGCTTTGAGCCAAGTATTTTTGGAAAATAACATCTGTGAACAACCTAAAGCCAGGCCCTGCAACAACAGAACTGGGCACAGAAAAGAGCCCCGTTCTGTTGCTGCATGTGAAAAGAGACGTACCAGAGGGCCAAGCAAAACTGCACCCAAATCCAAGGAATTTATCGAGACAGAGTCTTCGTCTTCATCATCTTCCTCAGATTCAGATTCAGAATCCGAACAAGAGGAATATCATCTGCCCAAACCTCAAACTGTGGCCTCTGCTTCAGGTGGAAGTGACCAGAGGTTGAAGGACTCCTTGAGCGGTAACACCAACAAAACTAACAGCAGCTGCAGTGCCTTTGGCTCCATTAATGCCAGGACTAGTAATGATATAGCAAAGGAGCTGGAGGAACAGTTTTATACTCTAGTTCCTTTTGGCAGGAATGAGCTCCTATCTCCTCTGAAAGACAATGATGAGGTAAAATCACTGTGGGTCAAAATTGATTTGACTCTTTTGTCCAGAATTCCAGAGCGTTTACCTGAGGAGCCACTGGCAATGAGCACTGGAGCAAAAGAAGAAGCCAGCCTTCAGCAGAATAATTGTACTTACCTACCATCAGAAAAGGTTGTGCCAAAATCTAGAAGGAAACGCAAGGTAAGCTGTATGGGGTTTCTTTGGTTTTGGAGGGGATGCCGGGGAAAGTTGCACGGCATATTTTGTGTCTTCTTATCTATCACCTAATCTATGTAATCATCTATTTCTTGTACATGATCTGTTTACCCAAACAGTATAATATGTGTAACAATAATATCCTATTTGAATTCGAATTTTTGAAGCAATGTTTCGTCATCACTCACTCCCCTACCGTGTGTGACTTTGAACCAACAACAGTCGTTTAAGGAACAGGAGGGAAAAGAACATTGAAAAGCAAAACTAAAACTTCTACTCAGCAGGGGACAAAGATGCCATAGCCCATGGTGCATTTTCAGTTGACACAGTGTCATTCCCTCCTCATGAAAATAGTACCCTTTATTAGTGTTTTTTTCAAAACTTGGACATCTGAAGATGATGCCTAAATCAGGAAATGAATTGAATGCAGCTGTGTAATCAAAGCCAATATCATGTCTTCATTATGAGTGTGTTGGAGAAGGAAGGTAGAGATAGCGCCTATGTCATCTCAAGATGTTAGCAAAGGGCCCAATCCTGCAAATGCTCTGCATACAGCTATTCTGCTGACATCAGCGGGAGCTTAATTTATGTAAATTCATGATCCATTTGGGCCGACAACTTTTCTCAGTTACATCAGTGCAATCCAGTTTAACTCAGTGGGGTTGCACAAGTATAACTGAATCCAGAATTTAGCTCAACGTCTGTTCTGCATCCACAGATGCCATCTCTAGCAGCCATTGCACTAGCCACCACTGTTCCCTCTAAGCTGTGTGCGTGTGCGCGCACACAGATCCTAAACCCCGTGCACTTAGCGAAACACTGCGCGCCAAAAAAATGAAATACTACATCGAAGCCAGGTCAAAATATCATTTACGGGTGACTTTTGACATTGTTTGCCCGCCATCTATCAACACAGCCAGATTCCACTAGCTGGCAAGAGCGGGGAAGGGAAATTTTTCTAAGAATTTAAAAATGACATTTATAAAATAACATGGTGTAACACAGCCCAGACATCAGACAGAGATCCACTGAGCTTCTCCTGTTTCAGAGGAATGTCTGCATTTCATACAGTATGCATTGCCCAGGAAGTAGCATGCAGTAATAATGGGAGCGTGACCAGGAATGGTCAAAGAGTAGCAGAAGCAAAAGCATAGCTGTGCCACTATGACATAGGAAGGGTTATTGTGATATTGCCATGTTGTATACCCAACAGAAGACAGGGAGGCACGATGAAAAAGCAGAATAAACAGCATAAGACAAGGAAACAGCATGTCACCAATTACAGATGAATGTCATAAGGGTACAGCAGGCAAAGTGGCATAAACAGAAACAGGCTTAACCACTGCAACTACCCCCATTCCCCTAAAAACATGGGTAAACTAGAGACACGACCACAAAGCATGTACTAAGGATGTAGGATGATCGTCATTCCTAATGAATGAGAGCCAAGCTATAGACACAATACTAATGCCTTAAAAGCAGCCCTGATTGTAATGTGTACAACAGACAGAATGCTGTTGCCATGCAGCAAAGCAATAAATGAAGCCTGCCCAAAGGGTAACAGGAGGAACTCAATCACTCTTGGAGATTGGATGGGTGCTAACAATGGAAATGGCTATGGAGTTCATAGGAAGGAGGGAAAAGCAATAACAGTGTCTGGGGGGATCCTAGGAAGGAGAGATATAGTAGGACATATGAAACAGTGACAAGGGACATGGGACCCATGGAAGAAAGTAGGAGAGAGAAAGAAATAGAGTGAAAGGAAACCAGGTGTGGGTTTGAGGAAGAGATGCAGAGGAAATGGACAAAAATGAGGACATAAAAAGATAATGTCTAGAGATGGAAGGAGAGAAATGGTTAAAAAAAATTGTCACATTTTCTTTCCTACTCCTTTGCTTGCAGGTTGTCTCTTAAGATTTTAAGCGTTTCAGGACAGTGAACTACTTTGCTGCATGTCTGTATAGTCTGTGGACTATATAAATAAACTTAAATAATAATAGTTAATACCGGGATACACCAGAATACAGGCCTTAATTTCCTGTAATACACAGCAATCATTTGCTTCTGTACGTGGGACTTGTGTCACCTATAAAATTCAATAGATGATCATTTTTCTCATCATTCAGTGTGAAAATGAAGAAGAGGACAGGGAGATCAAGAAGACTCATTTAGAGCAAGAGTGTTCTTCACGATTAATTGCCTCTGCCCTAGGTATTTCAACAGCAAATCATTGCAACAGGAATGAACATAGGTATGCATTTTCCTTGTTATTTAAAATTCAGTCTCCACAATTAACTGAATCATAATGCAAAGTGTTGTTTGGCATTTGATGGAATAGATTTTTTTTAATTATCACATTTTATGTGTAAAAATTATCCTTGTGCATTTTCTCTCTTTTTTTGGTGTAGTGAATGAGTTAGCTGCTCCTGACATAATTGTACTAATATTTTTGTTCTGTTACATAAAGAAGTTGTGAGTTCCAAGTATTTGGATCCTGGATTAAATAATTGTAGCAACAACAAAAGGATAAACTGAGACATTACAGTATTCCTAGGCATTATGTTCTGGGCATCAGTTCAACTAGGGTTACCAGCCTTAGTCCTTTTTACCTCCACCACATTGTTATGAGTTTCAGAATTAGAGCTTGCTTATATACCTCAGTTTAAATACAATAATTAATCTATGTACTCTGAGGACAAAGTGAAGAAAAGTACTTGAATTGATGCCTGGAATTCTCAACTCTTGCATACATTAAGGACCAGACAATCTAAAGATTACAGGTAAGTTATTTTCCATACTATTTGGTATGTGTAGGATACACAAATTTCTGTGACTATAAAAACAGCCAAATTTCCAAAGGATGCAAAGCATGAAATGCGTGATGAAAATCCACCAATCTGTTTGCAGAGATTTGTGCAGCAGCCATACTAGCAATCAGTCATCTCAATCATGCCTGGTTTTTCTTCAGAGATTGCCAGCAAGCAATTTGAGTCATGTATCTTCTTAGAGTTCAATTGCATGCTGCTTAGTACATGCAGGTCATTGATATATTTAAAAAAAATCCTTTTTCATTATATTTTATAGTGCAAGTGCAAAGAGGTACCTTGTAATTTATATAACGTCTAATATTCAACAATCATTAGTATTTCTTGTATTCGGTTATGTGTAGGTATTTATCTTCTTTTCATCACTGTAGGAACTGAACAGCTCTTATTTATAATATTAAACAAATGCAAAGGAACAATCTCAAACATGTTTTGCATATTCAAAAATATACATTCAGCTTCTCTGTCATCCTATAACTCAGATACATTACATAAAGTAAAAATTTCACATGTAGTAGTGTATTTTATTGTGGTTGATTGGATGCATGTATACTATTCCATGTATGCTATTACCAAAGTATCCTACATTTTACATCACATACATTCTCAAAATGATTGTCGTAGTCTGACATGTTTAGCATTGTTGAGCCAGTTTTTTCCTGGGGTTAATTCCACACCTTCTAAAAGTGCTGTGTGTCACATGTAACGCATACAGGGTTTCCAATAGCAATTGTATATCAAAAAGACAACAAATAAGTTCTTAAATGCTCCCTTCCCCTCACTCCCCAATTCCCTCCCTCCAAGGTATTTCTATGGCTTCTATTACCATAGCATCTCCCAATCATTAATGTATTTATCCTCACAACATCCCTGTGAGGTCGGGCAGTGTTGTTATCCCCATTTTACAGATGGGGAACTGAGGCACAGCAAGACTATGTGACTTGCCCAAGGTCATACAGTAACTCATACAGCAGAGAACTGAACGCAGGTCATCCTGAATTCCATGCTAGTACCCTAACAACTTGACCATCCTTCCTAGTGCTGTTGCACTTCAAAGCAGATGTAGCTTCTTCAGGCTACTTTAGCCTCACCCCCCTGATAATGATGTATGAGCCCAGCTGACCAGGGCAAAGCTTCCATTTGAAAAAAGGAAATAAAGTTGGAGCATCAGCAAGGGGCTCCTAAACATTCAAAATTAACAATAAAATCTGTTGTTTTTCTTACCAAAAAATCACTATTGACATTTGCTCACCTTGACCCTCTCATAAGAAGTGTAAGCCATTGAAAAAAAAATTCCTTTAGCCACACTTTAAAAGTACTGCCTTATGAGCCGATGAAGGTCTAAAAAGTTCTAATAGTGAGCTATGGTTTCTGCCACCTCAAGTTTTTAAAGACTCGTAAGATAAATGAACAAGTGTTTGGGAGCCAAATGTTTAATCATTTCTGTTCTCTGAAATGATGTGGTAAAACAAAGAGTATTTTGTATCATATTCACTTTTGCAAGGACATTCAGGGTGTAGTTTCTGATACTGTATCTATAAAGAAGTGAGAAATGTCCTTACAAAGGAATAGGCTGGATTGAAGAGAATGTGGCAGGGAAACATATTGTATTAACAGGTTTCAGGGTAGCAGCTGTGTTAGTCTGTATCCACTGTACAGCTGTAGCTCACGAAAGCTTATGCTCAAATAAATTGGTTAGTCTCTAAGGTGGCACAAGTCCTCCTTTTCATATTGTATTAAAATATTCTGTCTACTCTTAATCACAAATGTAGGCTCAATGCAAAGTTATCGCTCTTAAAAAAATGTATACTCTATGTGTTGCTTTAATTTTTCATTTAAGTATCTTCTTCAAATTAGCACATGAAAAGTTTCTTTACAGTTTATTGCTACTGTTGCCACCTGTTGCTCTATCTGTGGCTTCTCTAAAAAATGGCTTCTCTAACACGGCTTTCCCTTTTAGAAGATGCAGCAGTAGACATTTCCTTGTTTCCATTGTGAGAATGCTTTTCTTTGTCTGGTACACTAGCACATATTTCTTTGTCTTCAGAACCTGCACCAAATTACTGTAAACTGAATGACCAAGGCCTGGTCATTGAATTCAGAGACATCCCAATCGTCTTCTAGCACATTCCCTGTTTAATTCACATATGGTTTTATTGCTATGGCTTGTAAATTGTCACCTGTTATTGTGAAATAGGACTCTATAACCTAAACTTACACTTTAGAACCTCATCTCCTTCTCCAAGTAACCCTTAAAAGACAGTGAGGAATTGCCATTTATCTCCTTATTTTTTCAAGTACTTTGACATGGACTTTATAGTAATCCCAGAATGACAATTTACCCTAGAGGGAAAGAGAAGAAACATGATCCAAATTTGTAAATGAACTCTTGGTCCTGATACTATAAAGTTGTTTCCAGACATCAGTAGACTTCATCCTGCCAGCAGGTTTTAAATTCAAAGTTTCGATAATATATAAAACATTTACCTTTCTCAAATCCAGCTTTGTGACACTCCATTACTGTAATTTCCATTTCCAGCTTGGCGATACCAATAAATAAAAATGAGAAAATGCTTCGGTCTCCCATCTCACCCCTCTCTGATGTATCAAAACACAAATATTCCAATGATGATTTAACTTCTTCCAGTAGACCTAATGGCAGCAGCCTATTACCTTCCATGTCCTCCAGCAAAAAACATAAGAGTGAAATCCAGCCACAGCCACATCCTGCAGACTGCAATGTAAGTTTATGTTGTTGATCATAGTATAAAACCCAGCTGATTTTTCTTCTCTTTGTATCACTGCTCATACAGCCCTTGATATTTCTGCAGAATATCATGGAAAGGAACATAATAATGAATGTCCCATTAAGTAAGATTTTTCCATTGGGGAAATGGTAAGACATAACAGGATTAAAAATGACCTGAAAAATAGGAGGTGGAAGGAAATCCACAAAGCAGGTAAGTACACAACCAAGGTTTGCAAGAAGTAAAGAACAGGCAAAAAGTAAGGAATTTCATGTTTGACAACTCAGATGTCCATAAACAGAAAAGTTGTACAAGAAAAACATGCTGCTGATCTTGGCATTCTGAACTGAAATTGTGTGTGTTTGCATGCCTGAAATCGTTTTCTTCATAAATATATTTCCAATAAATGAACAGACCTGTGCATGAAATGACAGAGATGGCAAAATAGACAAGAGCTCCAATCCTGCCTTTCTTGAATCATTAGATTCCTGAAACAGGAGTCTTAGGAGTAAAAGGAATGCAAAATCAGCCCAATGAACAGTAAACGAGGAAGGTCAACCCAATATTTCCTCTGTGGAGAAAACCAGCGCAAACCCTGAAGCTCCACATACAGGGAACAATAGAGTGCTACTCCTGCTGCATCATTCTTCCCCTTCCATCAAAGGCTCCTCCTCAGAGTTGAGGCTCTGTGCATGGCAAAGGGGAATGGGCACTCTCCATGCTCGACTTCCCACCAGTGCCGCCCCAAAATTAATAATAATCATGGACTCGACAATAGCTTTGGTGCACACCCGTTTCATTTTTGGAACACCTCAGTGGGTCTGTGAAGTGGGTCTGTGGTAGAGTGGCACCCAGGTAGCTGTGCTGCCATGCAGTCAAGAGGCACCTGTTGGGGGCTGATGATGGATTAGAGGAACAGTGCCTTCATGTGGATGATCCTGCTCTTCAGCAGGTCCCTAGAGATCTGCAGCCTTTCGAGGACACAAAATTGGTCGGTTTTGTGAGCAGAGCTTAATCTCAGCATTTCCCTCTTCAGCAGTGAAATGAGCCATAGGAAACTACATGAGGAATTCTGTTGCATGATCTTTTCCTGCATAGAGAACAAGGTTTTAGCCATTATACGTTCCATGAAAAGGAAGAAGAAATAATAAGAGAAAGTATTGAATATTTTCACCAAATATATTCTTTATTATTATTAATGTCTTGATGCATTACAGCAGGGGCGGGCAAACTTTTTGGCCTGAGGGCCGCATTGGGTTTTGGAAATTGTATGGAGGGCCGGTTAGGGGAGGTTGTGCCTCCCCAAAAAGCCAGGTGTGGACTGGCGACTGCCTCCCACCCCCGGGACTCCTGCCCCATCCAACTCCCCCGTTCCCTGTTGGCCCCCCCCCGGGACCCGTGCCCCATCCCCTCCCCTGTTCCCTGTCGCCTGACCTCCCCCGGAACCCCCACCCCTGACTGCCCCCCGCCGCCCCATCCAACCCCCCCTCCTTCCTGACGGCCCCCCCGGGACCCCTGCCCCCATTCAACGCCCCCCATTCCCTGCCCGCTGACCACCCTTACCCCTAATCACACCCTCACCCCCTGACCACCACCCCGAACTCCCCTGCCCTCTATCCAACCCCCCACTCCCTGCCCCCTTACCGCGCTGCCTGGAGCACCGGTGGCTGGCGGCGTTACAGCGACGCCGCCCGGCTGGAGCCAGCCATGCCTCCGCACAGCACAGAGCACCGGGTCAGGCCGGGCTCTGCAGCTGCGCTGACCCAGGAGCTCGCAGCCCCACTGCCCAGAGCGTTGTGCCGGCAGCACAGTGAGCTGAGGCTGGGGGGGGGGAGAACAGTGGGGAAGGGGCCGGGGGCTAGCTTCCCAGGCCAGGCCGGGCAGGAGGGGACCACGTGCCATAGTTTGCCCACCTCTGCATTACAGGCTTCAAGAGCCTACACCTCACAGCAGGAAACTGAACTTTAGCCCAAACCCCTCAAGTCACTTCTGCTCAGGGGCAACTGGCCTGTTCCAAAAAGGCAGATTAGCGGTGGAAGAAAGGGGGGTAATGAGGTGGGGAGAAAAAGTAAACATTTCTGATCTAACTTTGAGATGTTTTGTCTTAAATATGTTGTTCTAAATTAGGTAAGTGTTTCTAGAGTCTCTCACACTTAATAAAAAGAAATAAACAAAATTAAGTATTTGAAAAATAGGCTATATACAAGGCCTTGAAAAGGCATTTTTAATATATTGGACTGACCAATTTCTCTTCCATCATGACGTAAATGTACATTTTTAAACACCTAAGTTTAGAGGCTGGTTTATGAACTCATTTAGAGTTATAATTATTTGATATCTGGAAAATAATTTAAAGTCCTTCAAAGATAAATGTGTTGGAAATTAGAAATAAAAAGTGATTGCTTTATGATCCACACCCTTAGCTAATGCATTCCACTCTGATTTTCTGCATAGTCTGGAAATGCTCCATTTGGTCAACATTTTAATAATCCCTTTAATAAAATTTTTATGTATCTGGTTATTCATCTGAAAATTATCCCACTGAACTGATCTGGATGTCCCATACAGAAGTTGAGAGCTCATGAATTGTAAATGTCACGGTTGGTTTTGTTTTAGCAAATCTGCCCATCTGGTGCCTAGCTGCCATGACCAACTGATCGTGTAGATTACTTACAGAGAAAGCTAGGCAGTAAGTGGTGGTTAGATCATGGAGCTTTCTGTTGAGACCTTCATTCCATTTCCTTCTTTTGTCTGAAGCAGAAGGAATTTTATTCTGTTGCAGTTACTGTCAAATAATAATAACAACCCAAACTGATGGAAAGTTACAGCAACAAAACAAAAAACCCCAAACAGTTTGGACACTGAAACGTGGCTTGACATGCAGAATAACCACAGCTGGTCTATGATCTAATAACTACACTCATCGTGTTATGGCCCTTCAGCTAGTGACTAATAATTCTGTTCTGTTGCTTCTGCATATCACCTGAAATTCTAAAGCCCTTTACCTGTAACTATTCGCAATATCTGTGAATTTGTGGCTATCAGTGACAAGCTAGTTATGTGTACTCCCTGTTGAAATAGTGAGCACACTAACTTGCAATTTACAGCACAATGCAGTCAAATTTTTATAGTTTATTAGCTGCTATTTCTAACTCAATGATCAATTTCTCAATGTGTTCTGTATTGTTTGTTGTCTAGAAAGCAGTTCACATCAATTCAGAAAGTGTTCTCTGCAACAAGCCACACTCCCAAACAGAGTCTTGGCCATCTTTATCCAGGGCACACAAAGACTGCAGAACAAAGCTCATCTTTGATGATATGTAAGTACAGATGCCTTTTTTCAAAAAAAGCAATTTAAGTGCAAATGTTTTTTTATGAAATAAAAATAAATCTTGCCCAACAGGAGCTCAGACATGGCCAATGCCATCATAGTAAGATATATTTCAGCACATTACATTGTAAATTGAACAAATTGTATAATTCCTGTTATTGTTACTGCAAGTTACACATCTACTTCTCCAAACACTGAACTAGGACTGTACACCATCAAGTTTGCTAAGAGGTCATTTTGTTTTGTTTCTTGAGCCTGAAATATATTTGTATCCAGAGGTTGTGTTGTTTCATTGTGTTTTTTAACAAGGTCACTTGCTATTTATAGTCACAGCAAGGAAAAATGAGGAATTGTGCTGGTTTTGGTATTGTAAAGCCAAAACCAAAGGCGTTTGACCCTGTTTATTCAAATCCCCCATCCCTCCTTATAGTTCAGCAGATTTTTAAAATGGCTCCAGTTTGTAGTCATCTCTCATTTAAAGGATTTAAAATTGCTTCTTCATTTTTCAAGCTACTTTACCATGTTATATATCAAAATAAAGCTTAAATTCCCATTGGTTCAAATAGACATGTTGACTTGTAATGACCTGATCTTCGTATATTTACCTTTCTGAATATGAGGGGTGTGATACTGTGTAAATTGCAGCCGCCTCCCCAGACTGCTTTTCCCCGGGAAACAGCTCATCAGTGTGGATTAGAAGACAAAATGCAATCAGAAACAGTTACAATACAACTGTTGTACCTCAGTCTGATTCCTCCTCAACCTGCTGATAAGAAACAGTGTTTTTTCCAGAATGCTGTCACAGGAGCTAAAACTGCTTTTTTCACTATCTCTATCTGCATCCAATGAAGTGAGCTGTAGCTCACGAAAGCTTATGCTCAAATAAATTGGTTAGTCTCTAAGGTGCCACAAGTATTCCTTTTCTTTTTGTGAATACAGACTAACACGGCTGTTACTCTGAAATCTATCAACTCAGAGGCTTTTATCACTTGCTTCTTCCATTAGTGATACATGTGAGATTTCCGACAGACATCTGCAATAAAACTCCTTAACCTTTTCAGAGAGAGAAATACAATAAAAACTGTTCCTGTGTAGTGCCTTCCATGCAGTGTGTCCCTAAGCAATTTGCAGCCCATAAAAAATAAAAAAATTAAAGCAATCTAAAAAGCTGAATTAGATAAGCAACAAAAATCAAATATATCTTAATTTTGTGCTTACAAATAGTACAATAGGCAGTTGCTATTTCTAAGTAAAGGATTTCTACGCCTATCATCTTAGCCCTTTGTTTATGTATCACCAGAAGCCCTTGACCTTGGATCCCAAATTGCTATGTATGGAGGTCACTAAAATGTTGTGGATTAGACTGATTGCAAATGTCCAAAATCAACAAAATTGACTCACACATCAGAAAGATCAAATTAAAGATGGCAAACAGAATTTTTCAGATTCCTATGGTACCACATCATGGGATTTGAGGAAATGCAGTACATAATTTTGAACCTACTGTAGTACCCCTAATGACAACATTTGCCCCAAAATTATGTCCAGAGAAAATTTCATCTGTTAAAGCACAAAACTCTGAATTACAGTAATCCAGCCTTGGATCATACTGTCTGTTTTAATCAGAGATCATAGTATGAAGAGACTAAATCGCACATATCTGATTTAAAACAACCACTCTCATTTGTTTCAACCACTCAAGAACTCTTCACTTTGTTCCCAACTTGTTTTCTTGAGATCACTGAAAACAGTTGTATCTAATAATAAATTGGATCACAAGTAGGTCAGTGAAAAGTATCTTGTTTAGCAAAGTGCCTATTGTGGATACTGTATTTGCATAAAATAAAGTATTTAAAATGGCAAGCAAAATCCTGCTTTCCATGGTTTTCCTGCATGTTCTGAATATGCTTCAAGACATGCTCTACGAATTACTTTGGGAAGTTCTGTGGCCTGTGTTATTCAGGAGGTCAGACTAAATCATCACAATGGTCCCTTCTGGCCTTGGAATCTATGAATCTGACACATCAGGCATACAAGTGACATATAAAAGATATATGGGGTTACTGTTTTCCAGTTTGTGTACTTCAGTTAGATGTACAGGATTTTTTAGCCATTTGAGACTTATGCTACTGTATAAAGAGAGAGAATTTTAGAGGCTGTGTAATAACATTGAGGGTATGTCTATACTGCAATGTAAGCCATGGGTTAGTGGGACTCAAGTCAGCTGACCTGTGTTAGAGAACCTGAGGTTTGAGTGTCTATATTAATTCTCAACCCTATGTTAAGAATTTTCTAGTCTGGGCTTGAAACAGTGAGGGCTCTGGCGTCCACACTCAGCACACAGACTCGAGTCAAACCAACCACATCTCAAACTCCCAAAATGTGGCTGTTCTAGCCCTTTGCTTGTGGTACACTGTGGGAAAGATTTCCTGCCCACCCTGCACATTACAGGAAGTTTGAACAGCCTGCCAGCACAGCCTGCCACGCAACATGGAGGAGACCCCTTTTCAAGAAGTTCTCTTGCTTGCATTTTCACTCCTGTGTCAGGAAATGGGCAGAGCTTCCATGACACACTGGTGGACATTTCGACGGCATTTTCTTACCCAGGAAAGGCACCTGAGAGCATGTTGGCTGGAGCAGGAGAAGGACAAGAAAGCAGAAGAGGGAAGAGCTCCCAGCGGCTGATGCTGCTCATTACACTCGCTATAGCCGCTGATGCTCCCTGCATAAACCAGCGCTTCTGGCACAGGCCCACAAGCACAGACTGGTGGGAATCACATGGTCATGCAGACCTGGGATGACCAGCAGTGGGTCCAGAACTTTCACATGAAGAAAGCTTACATTTTTGGAGTTTTGAGTAGCTTGCCTTAGCCCTCCAGGGTAAAGACACACGCATGAGGCACTGTTGGAGGTGCCCACAGACCTGTTTGGATGCCATTGGCATCAATGCTGTCTGCATTACTGTAGCTTGCTGTACTCTACACAATCTTTGAAGCCAGAGGTGAGCCGTTTCCCCCTGAATGGACCTATGAGAAGCAAGGGGCCACTGAATCGGTACACTCAGCCAGCAAGTGCGGCTACCACAGCTGGAGCTGGATGCACCTGGGCAACAGAGATGCTTTGTGCTCCCACATTATGGACTGGCATGGTCCCATGGAAGAGGAAGATTAGTACTTCTATGAACGTGCTTGTGGGGGTTGAAGCTATTTGGTTTCGGGGGGTGTCAGTGCTAGGGAGAGATAGGGGCTTGATTGCCATGCAACGTAGTTATGAATGATATGACAACTTACAAAAAGGGTGGGATGATTCACGGTATGGATTCATATAAGGAAGTGATTGAAGAGTGGATTGCTGTACGTACTTCCTCATTGTTCCTGATCATGGGTTTAGCTTGATGATTTCAATACTGATTGTATGATGAGGTGCAGGGATAGCAATAAACTTTCCTGATGACATAAAAAACTTTATTGTAAACTTGTGTTAAAACAGTACAACTGTCACCCATTGCCAAGCAGGGCGGTTGCCATTACAACACCCAAACACCAGTTACAAAACAACATTTCCAAAATGAAACAAAAGTAGAGGAGAAGTGCAAACAGGACAGAACCCCCCACGTTGCTGCATGTCATAGAATATCAGGGTTGGAAGGGACCTCAGGAGGTCACCTAGTCCAACCCCCTGCTCAAAGCAGGACCAATCCCCAACTAAATCATCCCAGCCAGGGCTTTGTCAAGCCTGACCTTAAAAATATCTAAGGAAGGAGATTCCACCACCTCCCTAGATAACCCATTCCAGTGTTTCACCACCCTCCTAGTGAAAAAGGTTTTCCTAATATCCAACCTAAACCTCCCCCACTGCAGCTTGAGACCATTACTCCTCGTTCTGTCATCTGCTATCACTGAGAACAGTCTAGATTCATCCTCTTTGGAACCCCCTTTCAGGTAGTTGAAAGCAGGTATCAAATCCCCCTTCATTCTTCTCTTCTGCAGACTAAACAATCCCAGTTCCCTCAGCCTCTCCTCATAAGTCATGTGTTCCAGTCCCCTAATCATTTTTGTTGCCCTCCGCTGGACGTTTTCCAATTTTTCCACGTCATTCTTGTAGTGTGGGGCCCAAAACTGGACACAGTACTCCAGATGAGTCCTCACCAGTGTCGAATAGAGGGGAACAATCACGTCCCTCGATCTGCTGGCAATGCCCCTACTTATATGTCCCAAAATGCCATTGGCCTTCTTGGGCACACTGTTGACTCATATCCAGCTTCTTGTCCACTGTAACCCCTAGGTCCTTTTCTGCAGAACTGCTGCCTAGCCATTCGGTCCCTAGTCTGTAGCGGTGTATGGGATTCTTCCGTCTTAAGTGCAGGACTCTACACTTGTCCTTGTTGAACCTCATCAGATTTCTTTTGGCCCAATCCTCCAATTTGTCTAGGTCCTTCTGTATCTTATCCCTACCCTCCAGCGTATCTACCTCTCCTCCCAGTTTCGTGTCATCTGCAAACTTGCTGAGGGTGCAATCCACACCATCCTCCAGAAAGTTAATGAAGATATTGAACAAAACTGGCCCGAGGACTGACCCTTGGGGGCACTCCACTTGATACCGGCTGCCAACTAGACATGGAGCCATTGATCACTACCCGTTGAGCCCGACAATCTAGCCAGCTTTCTATCCACCTGATAGTCCATTCATCCAGCCCAAACTTCTTTAACTTGCTGGCAAGAATACTGTGGGAGACCGTGTCAAAAGCTTTGCTAAAGTCAAGGAACAACACATCCACTGCTTTCCCCTCATCCACAGAGCCAGTTATCATAGAAGGCAGTTAGATTAGTCAGGCATGACTTGCCCTTGGTGAATCCATGCTGACTGTTCCTGATCACTTTCCTCTCCTCTAAGTGCTTCAGAATTGATTCCTTGAGGACCTGCTCCATGATTTTTCCAGGGACTGAGGTGAGGCTGACTGGCCTGTAGTTCCCAGGATCCTCCTTCTTC